GTTTCACAGAAGCTTCGTCAACAAGTGCCCTGGTGAATTGATTGTCAGCATTTTACAATTTGAACATTTTGTGGAGAATTATGGTCTTTGGAGTTTTTACATATATATTATCAAGTTGACAAACCAACTCAACTCAAATAATTTTATTGGCATAAAACAAATAACAAGTTTATAGCCATACCAAATAACCAGATCAGTGATATTGAATAGACTTGCATGTATAGCTCATTTATAGAAGAGTACTGCAAAAAATTAATATAGAATAACTTATTTTTAAATATTTCTGTGAAATTAGATTTAATTTGACAAGACTTAAAACTGATTTACTGTAATATTCTAAATGGACACTATCAAGTTTACTCAACAACAGCTTTCTCATGTATATCTCTGTATTAACAAATAGCTTTTTTGTTGTGTTTTTTTTTCTTTTTTTAACTTAAATTAGAAAATTTATATAATTAGGAGACTTGTCATTTTGTTGCTAAATATTTATATTTGGACAAGTTTGTAATAGTTGCATTTGATATAGATGGCATCAGATTTCATAAGCATAGTTCTCCAAGTATTTGAGTCTTAATTCTCTTTATTTGTCAGTTAAATTGTTAATACTTCTAAACACTGTTCTTTTTCAAACTATATGTTTCTAAACCTGTAGAATCATCAGTTTAACCTCACCTGAATACTATAGATGAATATTAATTTGTATGTTTCATGTTTATACAGATTAGAATGCTGATTTTATCTCATTAGATCAAACATGTACAATATATGTATAATTATTACAATTTGAAACATACTAAAACAGCATTTCAGTTATTTAACTTTTTATAATGTGGTAAAAATTCAAAGTTAATAAAAAATCATGAGGCACTTCATTTGGATAAAATATAGAAGTTACTGTTCAGAAACAGTAAAACTTACTTTTTGTCCCTCAATTTATGAACTTTCTTTACTAAACCATTAATGAGGTGTAATTTGGATCGTCTTACAATAGCTCTCATTAGCACAACCTGTAAAACGTAACAAAACAATAATATGTAGGTGCCAAAGCTCTGCAAGTACTGAGTATGATATATCCACTAATGTTGCCTGTAAATTTTGTGCTTTACAGTTATTCTTAGTAAAACAAGATGCTTTTTTGGTATGTGACTTGGTCCAGGGACTGATATGCAGTACATGTACGTAGTGATAGAGCTATAATATCTGCTTCTAATAGCAATATCAAGTCTCCTTTACAGCACACTAAGGCATTATAAACCCACGTCTTCATCAACTAACCAAATTACAAGTTAACAATCATGAACACAAACTGTTAAAATTTTGAATCTTTAACTCCTGGCTATGCCGTTCATGAAATATCTGCTTCACCTGAACTAAACAACATTTTGTTATTAAACTGAAATGAAACTAATTCTTTTTGCATAAAAAGGAAGAAGGTAAATAACATGTATATCTTTCCTTATTAACCCATTACTTCATATACACGCCTTTTAACGCCTTTTTCACCCCCCCCCTTTTTTGTTGTCTCAAATGATGAAAAAAAGCCTTATTTAGGCCCCAAACACTTGTTTTTGTTTGAGAAATGTTGTTAAAAAAGTGACCTCTTTTTCGGCGCGGCCCCCCAACCAAAAGATACATCAGGGGGTTGCCAGAAGGGGGATGTGCCCCCTTCTGTTTGGGGGGTTTGAAGGGGGGCGGAGTCCCCCTCATCGCCAAGAAAATTTTGGACTTGTGAGAGGCTGTAAATGACCCCAGATTGATCATAAGGTAACGTGTAACCAACGCTGAAAATCATTTGACTCTATCTCAATCCATTGAGAAGTTGCAGCACTTTGAAATCAATTTTGATGGAAAAAATCAACGCAAAATAGTGATTTTTGGCAATTTTGAGATGTCCCCTCGTTGCCATGGTAACAGAAAATTTAAGCCTGAGCATGTTGTTGCAAGGGCAATGGTACAGTCAACATTTGTGCCAAGTTTGATTAGTGTTGAAGCAGTTTTTATAGTATTATAGCAATTTGAACTTGTAACGGGAGACTTTTCAATGAAAACAGCCATTTTTCACAAAATGCTCATGAAGCAATGGGTTAATGAAAAAAATAAAAAAATCTACAAAACAACAAATTTTCTTCAAATTTATATGACAGGCCATGTTAAAACATGAAAAAACACGATTTAGGGTAATTTCAAGTATTTTCAATCATTTTCTGTTAACCCATTACTTCATATACACGCCTTTTAACGCCTTTTTCACCCCCCCCCCTTTTTTGTTGTCTCAAATGATGAAAAAATGCCTTATTTAGGCCCCCAAACACTTGTTTTTGTTTGAGAAATGTTGTTAAAAAAAGTGACCTCTTTTTCGGCGCGGCCCCCCAACCAAAAGATACATCAGGGGGTTGCCAGAAGGGGGATGTGCCCCCTTCTGTTTGGGGGGTTTGAAGGGGGGCGGAGTCCCCCTCATCGCCAAGAAAATTTTGGACTTGTGAGAGGCTGTAAATGACCCCAGATTGATCATAAGGTAACGTGTAACCAACGCTGAAAAGCATTTGACTCTATCTCAATCCATTGAGAAGTTGCAGCACTTTGAAATCAATTTTGATGGAAAAAATCAACGCAAATAGTGATTTTTGGCAATTTTGAGATGTCCCCTCGTTGCCATGGTAACAGAAAATTTAAGCCTGAGCATGTTGTTGCAAGGGCAATGGTCCAGTCAACATTTGTGCCAAGTTTGATTAGTGTTGAAGCAGTTTTTATAGTATTATAGCAATTTGAACTTGTAACGGGAGACTTTTCAATGAAAACAGCCATTTTTCACAAAATGCTCATGAAGTAATGGGTTAATGAAAAAAATAAAAAAATCTACAAAACAACAATTTTTCTTCAAATTTATATGACAGGCCATGTTTAAACATGAAAAAACACGATTTAGGGTAATTTCAAGTATTTTCATCATTTTCTGTTAACCCATTACTTCATATACACGCCTTTTAACGCCTTTTTCACCCCCCCCCCTTTTTTGTTGTCTCAAATGATGAAAAAATGCCTTATTTAGGCCCCCAACACTTGTTTTTGTTTGAGAAATGTTGTTAAAAAAAGTGACCTCTTTTTCGGCGCGGCCCCCCAACCAAAAGATACATCAGGGGGTTGCCAGAAGGGGGATGTGCCCCCTTCTGTTTGGGGGGTTTGAAGGGGGGCGGAGTCCCCCTCATCGCCAAGAAAATTTTGGACTTGTGAGAGGCTGTAAATGACCCCAGATTGATCATAAGGTAACGTGTAACCAACGCTGAAAAGCATTTGACTCTATCTCAATCCATTGAGAAGTTGCAGCACTTTGAAATCAATTTTGATGGAAAAAATCAACGCAAAATAGTGATTTTTGGCAATTTTGAGATGTCCCCTCGTTGCCATGGTAACAGAAAATTTAAGCCTGAGCATGTTGTTGCAAGGGCAATGGTACAGTCAACATTTGTGCCAAGTTTGATTAGTGTTGAAGCAGTTTTTATAGTATTATAGCAATTTGAACTTGTAACGGGAGACTTTTCAATGAAAACAGCCATTTTTCACAAAATGCTCATGAAGTAATGGGTTAAAGTGTGTAATTTTCTCACCTTATTGTTTAAAGCAACTTTATCAATGGTTGCAGTTGGTGCTAGATCTAACTCCCTCTGATATCCTCCAGATGACATGTTTGTATGTAAATGTCAGCACCTACAACACAAATCTAAGTATGAATCACTTGCAATTCAAACTGTGATTTATAGTGACCTATGGCATAACAAATATGATTCTGAATTATCCTTTCAAAGGAAATTTTTAGCTTTAGCTTTTTGCAGTCTTACTCTCTCCCAATGGCTTCCGAATATTCCAGGCCCTTTGTTGGCTTGAACTCAACATTGCCTTGAAATTAACCTTTTAGAATTTCACTTTGTCAGACTGTTTGATATCAAGAAACCCCTGAATTTGGGCCAATCCTGACTCCTGAGGCATTATTTGAATGCTGCATACTACATACAGCTCTATACTTAGGCTTTGTAGTAAACAGATAAAAATGCATCACATATTAAACGTATGTGACACACATGTTTTACATATGGATAATGGTAGAAACATATGGTGTCTCCAAGAAAAGTACCCCATATGTTTTACATATAATGCAAAGACATGTTTTTCATATGGATACACATGTATTACATATGTTTTTCATATGGTAGGATAACATATGTTTTTCATATGGTAGGAAACAGTGTTTCTCCAAGAAAAGGAACTGTATGTTTACATTTATGGTATAGACTTATGTTTTTCTCATATGGATTTATATGAATCATGTTTTTCATAACAAACGGTATGAACTTGTGTTCCAGAGTTTGGTTTGTTTGAACTTGATCATTCATAAGAATTTTACAAGTGTTAGGTGTTTAACACCACACTTAAGTGAAATTATATATATGTATATAATAATGCTTATAAAACAATTTTCATATGTATTATATGTATATAATTATGCTTATAAAACAATTTTCAAACATCGAAGAATATGTAAAATATGTACTGCAAGTATTTGTACATATTATATGTAATCATTAGAATATATGCATTCATTTTTTATTGAAAAATTTGACTTAGACTATATAGAAAATAAACTTTTTATTGCCTCCCTTTATTTACATGAAATGTTAAATTCGGTAATATTTTGTTATAAATAATGCTTTTTGGAACTTACAAGATAAATCTTAATTTGAAAATCATATTTATGATATGATGGTCACTATCTACGGGTCACTTCGTTTTGAGTTCTTGATTGTTAAAATTTCACTTAATAAACACTAACATATACAAAGGGAGAAAAAAATCACGAATAAAAATGAATGGCAGACTATTCTCCCCATAACCATAATAAGCACATAGATGCTTGAACCAAGAATCTTTTAAGAATTTGTGTACAATCATGTAGAATCTAATTAAGACTGTTCAAAGTGTAAATCTTAAAGAATATATAATCATAAATTTATCATATGAAAAACACATGAAAGTTCACATATATTTAACATATGAAAACTTATTCACATGAAAAACATGTGATAACTGTGAGTTTAACATATGTTTGTTGACACATGTTTTTCATATGGTCCTGTTTAACATATGTTAATCTTACATTTGAAAAACATATGTTCTTATACACATGTTTCTCAAAACACATGAAACACATATGCTTTACATATGGAAAACATATGGTGTACCAAACATACAAAAAACATGTGGTTCATTTTTATCCGTGTATATGGACTTATTCACAAACGTGGTTAGATTTTTTCTTAAATAATTATTAGAATTTTGGTAAATGAAATTGGAAAAGGACATTAAAGGACTGCCATTATCACCAATCAATTACCACGTGTATGTTAAAGGTACAGATTAATCAGGTGATAATTATGAATGACACTTTCTTTCAAATTTGATTAATGAGCACCTACAACTAATTTGAAGCTTATGATAATAAGTTAACATGTTTTTATTTCATATTTTTTTGAAGAGTACTTTAAAAACAAAAAGCATCAAAGGAAACACATTTGCATTATATTAATTTTCAACGAATCTGCAAGAATAAACGTAACAAATTTCTTCTTAATATACTTTAATTCTGCAGAACAGCTTGCTGTGATAACATAATCAGAAAAAGTTAATACCTTCAATATGTTTTTTTCTAAGTGGGCCGATTAGACCCGTGCAGAGTTGATGTGTGCCGAGTTGGTATAGGGTCGAGATAACTCTTTACCTAAAATCTATTATACCAATGTAAAGCTTTTGATTTTATCAGGTCTAGGATTTCATGATATTTATGGACAATCTGTAAATTTTTGGACGATCCATAATGATACAAATTTTTTTATCTGTAAATTTACAGACATATTGTTAGAAAATAGCAGAAGTTGCATTAAAATTCAAATATTGTTAGAAAATAGCAGAAGTTGCATTAAAATTCAAACCCGCAGGTTAAAATGAATAAGGTTAGGTATTATATAAATAAATGTAACAGTATGGTCAGATTCAGAACAATTTGATGACTTTCAATTTTCACTTTTAACAAAAATTCAAAAATCATCATACAAAGATGAAACTCACCTTTGTAAATAGGAAGTGTCTAGCCGTACGGGCCCGTACGGCTAGAACTTTTGGCTAGCCGTACGTGTGTCGCGTACATACGACGATATACATATTGTTTCAATTATCGAAAAAAATAAAAAAACACTTTAAAGGTGCTTTTAAGCACTTAAAGATGCATAAGAGCACAAATAATGTTTTTAGTTGGTTCGTATATTTTGTTATCAAAATGTTCGAAAAAATAAAAAAAGTAACCATTCGAAATTGATATTGTTTCTTTGACAAATATCAGTATATGTGCATAAAATAAGGCATTAATCATCAACACTGATTTGATTCTCAAAAGTGACTTACAGCTAGCTAATACAGTGTGTTTTGGCTAGCCGTACATGACTCACATCCGGCTAGCCAAAAGTTCTAGCCGTACGGCTAGCCACTTCCTTGTAAATATAAACAATCAATAAAACAACTTGTCTTAAGCTGCGGATTTTAGTGTAAAACTAAAAACCGCAAATTTCACATTGAATATCTGTAAATTTATGAATTGAAAAATCCTTAAATTTTTAGACTATCCATAAATATCATGAAATCCTAGACCTGTTTATATAGCTTTGTCACAGTATTTACTTCAGCACATCTTTTGACACCAAAGTATTTTAAATAACTATTTAACCTACCATATGTCAGACCAATGAGATACACAACTGGATAGCTTTGATAAGAATAGCCTGTGGTTTGCAAGTGTGGAAACTGTTTATATAGCCGAAATTAACCGTTAAGAAAGAAGGCGGGTATGGAAAGGAGACAGAAAGAGAGAGTACCCGGCTTTCCTTTCAGAACACAACTTACCCGAAATCTTTTCGTCCGAATACTTGATACTTGCAAATAACTGTTTATCATGTAGATCTATGTCAAAACAATTCTAAAAAATACAAGTTAAAAATAAACATTAAAGAAATCGTGCTTATCTATAATACTTACTTGGTTATACAGAAAATTGTTTTATAAATGAGAATTTTGATAATATATTTTCACATGTGGACATCCGTCCATCTATCGGAAAATAGTAGCATTCAACCTATACGAGGGGCGCAGGGTAGTAGGGCGCAAGGAATGGTCGATGATACAAAAATTAAGTGTAACTTGTAATATGATGATAAGAAATATACATGTATATAAATAAAAAAAACTTAATAAAGCCGTTTTGAAAAAAAAAATCATATTTAAACGTCTACTGTACTGTATATTTATTATAGAATTCCTTATGTAGTACTTTTTTCGTCAGGAATCCATTTTCGAGAATTATAAACATTTTGATGTTGACAACTGAAATTGGCGACCCCTTCTTGAATTATGGATTTGAAACTTACTGAATTATGATGTGTTTCATTTACATATTTCATTTGCTAACCCAGATACTCCACATACAGTATGGAAACGTGGAAATGAGAAAGATTACATGTAGTTGATTAAAAATTAAAAGATGGATCATAGTTCATAAGTTTAGGAGTCATTCAGGAGAAACTGGATTATGTGGATAGAAACTGGCAATGAAGGAATCTTCCAAATGCGAATTCGTCGTTTATAAAGATCTATTTCGAAATTTATACTGTAGGGATTCTATTCCACTTAAATTAAGTGCAATTTCTATTGATCTATAACTATTCCATGTGGTTGCTTATTACAGTTGAGTTCACACTAAAGGTTACACAAAGTGCACTAGGAGTGCACTAGATGTGCACTACTAGTGCACTTCAAAGTGCACTAGTAGTGCACTACTAGTGCACTTCATAAGTGCACTTTGTAGTGCACCAGACCTATAATATGTATTAAGCAGTTACCTTTTATTTCAATGAATAGCAATTTGACTTTTACAAAAAGATAGATAAATATAGATATCTGTATAATAGTTTTTCATAATAAATTTGAAGTTGTGAATATTAGATTTTGTAAAATATGGCGTAAAATATTAGAACAATAATTTTTCAAATTCATTAATTTTACTGAATTTAAAACTTAATTGTTAGAATAAGTAAATATAAATAATTATAACTTTAATGTTGATAAGTGCATAAATAAACAAAATTAATTGATATTTAATATGATTCTATTTTTTTATAATCTTGTTAATGAAATATGAAACATTGAAATGCTAATTAAACAAAATTCAGTCAAGTTTTTTTTTTTTTTTTTTTTTTTTTTTTTGGGGGGGGGGGCAAATTATACCAATTTGTTTTTTTTTTATCTTAACTTATGGTTGTTTTAGTTAAAGGTAATGATTTTAAGCATTAATAGTCTTTAATACATTAAAGATTTAATATGTTTATAATTGGCCAAAATTTTGTCAATTTTATCTCATTTAATATAATCTCTCTTACCTTCTGAAACTGAGATTTACCTAAGATTAATATAAATGATATATATTATTCTAAAAATAAATATTTATATATAATGGTGGTATATTAAGTATTGATATGTGTGGATTAAGTATTGATATGTACCTGTGGGACACTAGTATACTTTAACTGACATGGTTTGGGTACAGTTGAGTTCACACAACATATTAACAAAAAGATTAGAAAATCTTTCAATTCCATTTTTTGAGACAACACGAATCTTTTTTCTTTTTTTTCATGCACTGTAACATAATTATGCAATATGATTATTTTTATGAGTTTATTATAAAATGCAAAAATATTTCAGTTTTCTTTTTTCTTTTTTGTACTACTGTAATGAAATTTATTTGCACCAACATCCAGAGAATACAGAATTTACATTGCCTACTTATATTTATCATCTGCCTTTTGTTATTCACCCTAAGGGGCTCTCTTATCAGCAGGGTACTATATTAAAATACCAATTCACAGCATGACTTATGACACTTAAATCTTCTGTAACTGTTTTCTGCTCATGTACGAGTATGGTAAAAATTAAAAAAAAAGAAAAAAAAAAAAGATCTGCATTTAAGTGAAAAGGAAGTTGCAAAAGTTTTATAATCACATGTATTTAAATATTTTCTTTAAGATATATTATCTTCTAAATGTGTTAAAACTGACAAGGTAAATTTGTCAAATCTATAATAAAAAATTAACATTTCCCACTTCAGAAACTAAAAGATGATTTTAATGCAGAATTGCAAGAAATGTGGATAAATATTGAAATGAGGTCTTTCCAGAATAGTAAACACTGATATTGATTTTAAACCAGTTTTTTTATGATAAGATTAGAAAATTCCACTTCAAAGACAATAATGACAATAATATCTAACATGCGTTTATGCCATTATTATTATTTTTTTTACATTTGATTATACAAAAATTATAGTCATTTATCTTAGATGTCTTACATGTATTTTGGAAACAAAAAACAGGAAATTTTAAATAAATATTGCATACATCTGCATTTTTGTTATTTACCCTGAGGCCCCTTATCAGCAGGAGATCAGTATTATGAAAACAGGCATTCTCAGTAAAATACCAATACACAGCATGACTTGAGACTGTCCTCTTGTATAAAAGCATTCCCTTTTTTCATTAAATTTTTGATAGAGAAATCTTAAATAAAGTTATCAATTTTATTTATTTCATGTATAGATATTTAGCTCCGTGATTCATCGAAAAAATTATTTATATCTTTAAAAAGTATGCAAGCATTTCATGGTTGAAAAACATAATATCACAGTGTATGGATTGTTTTAAAATAAATTAATTTATATTCTCTTTCAATTTTGAACATGAGGAATTGCCTCTTAAGTTATATATTATTATGCAGAGTGGCAAGAAATGTGGATAAATGGATAAATATACAAAATTCCGCTTTAGAGACAATAATATCTAATATGCATTTATGCCATTATGATTTTTTTGTATATTTGATTATAAAAAAAATTATGGTCATTAATCTATATGACTTATAGGATTCGGCTAACTAGCCTGAGTGCCAACGCCTGATGAATCCCAGGCTTATAATTATCTAACATGCATTTTGAGAAAACCAAGGTATTTCAATGCATACTTATAATTCGCAAAATTGACTGTTCTTTGTTATTTACCCTGAGGCCCTCTTATCAGCAGGATAATGGTATAATGAAAACAATCCATCTCAGTAAAACACCAATACACAGCATGACTTGAGATTTTTCTCTTCAATAAAAGTATTCCCTTTATACATTCAATTTTAATATTGAAATCATGAATAAAGTTAACAATTTTTTTTTATTTTATGGATAATATTTTAATCATTTATATCTTTAAAACATATGCAAGCATTACACAGTTGAATAATAAATTATCACATTTTTGATTGTTTAAAAATTAATGTATTAATATTCTCTTTCAATATTGAACATGAGGAATTGTCTCTAAGTTATATATTATAGAAATAATATTTTAGCTTAAATATAAACCTTTCCTTGATTTGTTTGAGCTTATGGAGAAAAAATGGTTATGTAAGTGTTACAAGCCAGAATTACCACATTAATTTTCCCATTTGTACACTTGAAAAATTGAAATAATAGCTTTAAAAACACTTTTACGCAATTATCCATTACGGAGCATATTAAAATTTGACCTTATTAATTCTTTAAAATTGATTTGAAGGGGTATTGTTTTACACTTACAGTTAAATACTGGTTAATTAAAATATGATTACAATAATTTTTTTTTTTAATTTTAAGCTTTAACATGATATCACCTAATATGTTAAAATTTACTTATTTATATTCATGAATAGGCCACACATTCCCAAAGTTGTTTTTCCTTATAGCAGCTTAACAATAGATGCCCCCTGTCACTTGATATACAATTATCCAATAAACAATTTAGGTGTCACCTTCCCTGGCCAGTCTGGTCATATGGTCTAGTGCACTAGAAGTGCACACGGTGTGCACTTCTAGTTCAGCTCTAGTGCACTAGAAGTGCACAAGGGTGGGAAGTTTAGTGTGAACTCAACTGTAAATCTATTCATGTTTTTTTAAGTTTTGCATCATGCATCGCAAATAAACTGTTATATCTTGTAGATTCAGCTTTGTTCAATAATCGTGAAACGACCCCGAGAACTTCATGTACATTTTAGAAACATGACCCGTTCATCTTCAAATGAAGAGTACTTCGGCATGCCAATGGCTACGGAAAATAAACAACGAGACTTGCCGTAGAGAACTATAACTTTGCTTAATACAAGAAAAGTAGAAACTTTAGAGAAAAATCCTGAAAAATCTCGAGGGTGACTTTTTTTAGTTTACAAAAATGGTTTAATTTTTATTCAACCTCGTTTTGTTAATTCATACCAGGCAAAAGTTCATTTCCTTTTTTAATGGGACAGACTATAGTGCGATAACACTTAGACAATTGACATCCTTTTAATCAGATTTTCTTAATGAATTCATTGTTAATATTTTTTGTATAAAACTGTATCATAAATAACCATGCAATAACATTCTAATGTCGAAATGTTTTTCAGTGAAAAATAAGTATGCATTTAAATAGTAAAATACAATATTTATGTATCATTCATCTGTAAAATTTGGTATATTGTTTTAACATGTCCAAACACCTGAATATATTGGTATAATTTAACAAAAATGTGTTTATTTCAGTCCTACATCTTTTGAGAATAGTACCGTGAAAACAAAATTACTGACTATTTCAACAGTTACATGACAATGAGCTGCTAATTCAAGGGACACTCAAAATAACGTACATTTCTCTGCATGTTTTGTAAGAATGACCTGCTCAATTTGATATGGAACTGAGAGAAAATGGTTCGTATCTTTTTTGCAATAATTCAAATTTATACCTGGAGCTTTTCACACCTTTTTTTCGTTTTGAGAAATGTTGTTAAAAACGTGATCATCTTTTCGACGACGCCCCTTTAAAGCTGAAAAGCCTTTGACTTTATCTTAATCCAATTAGAAGTTGCAGCACTTTGAAATAAGTTTTGATGGAAAAAATCAACGCAAAATAGTGATTTTTGTCAATTTTAGATGTCCCCCGGCCGTTGCCATGGTTACAGGAAATTTAAGATTGAACATGCTATTACAACGGCTTTGGTCCAGTTAACAAATGTG